TTTTGTGTGGTTCCGGAGGTCCGAGGCTCGAGCAGCAGGCCTCGAACAAAAAGAATGCAGTGGGGGCCCATGCCAAGACACACCCTGCTTGCCTCCAGCGTGCCCTGGGTTTCTCAGGAGGGAAATATACACACAGACACAATTAATCGTCGATTTCCCAGAAATATGGGAAAATCTGGGACATGGGGGGGGAAGACAAAAACCCAGAAAAATATGAAAATATGGGGAATCTTTTTATTTGTGTGTATTTATTTGTGTGTCCCAGGGCCCCTTCAGTTTCGTGGGTCTCGATGGTTCTGCAGTGGAAGGCGTGACGTTCCCACAGCAAACATCGTCGGACGTCCTGGGGTCTCAGGGTTGGGTTTCTTCTGAACGGTTTCTTGTGGACTGGCCTCCGCTGTAGCGAAGACGCATGCCACATTCATTGGTCAACGCCTCCCCCTCCCCCCTATGTTCAACGTTGGCGGTGGGTCTGATGAGTTCCATTTCGACCGTAGTCTCCCCCGCGCGTGCCAACTTTGAGTTCTGGGGAGCGGGGGAGTGTCCACTGACTGTTCCCCCCTGCCGAAGGTCGCGGCCCAGGGTCGGTGTATACGCAGTCCCAGGCGTCTGAGGGTCCAGGAAGGCGTCCGGCCACTGCGCGTGGTAGGAACGATGAGCAGCTTTCCCAAGGGGTGCCCCCCTGCATCCCTGCCTCTTCGGCTCATCCTTGGCCATGCGTTCAGGGGGCGTGCATCATCACCGCACATCCTTTTCATACGCACTGGCTGCACGCACTGGTCCTGGGACTGGGATTGGCTCGGCCAAGATCGGTGCCGGTGCATGGGCTGCGTCCTCCCGCGTAAACCAGCCAGGACTGAGCATAGGCCCGATCGGATGTGTCATGTTGTGAGACACATGGCTTGCTTCCAATCGGTCTGCGGTGGGCAGCAGGCAGAATTACTTTCACGCTTTGAAGTTGCCACCTTCCTTTTCCCTCCATGCTCTTTCGCGTTCTCTCCCTCCCTCTCTCTCTCTGTTCCCTCCCTTTCCCCTCCCTCAGTCTCGCTTTCCTTCCCTTCGGGGACGCACAGGATGGTAGCCTGCGTGCCAGAAGAGCACGCGTTGTTGAATTCATTCTATCGGCATACACCAGCCGCTCCTCGCTTCTTGGCCTGCCCCTGCGATGGCATCCTTCACAATGAGGGTACCGAGTAGTCGTACCTGCAGGTCGGCATTTCCCTTCCATGATGCCCTCCACGGGCCCTTTTCGTGTGGTACGAGTGGGCACGGGAGGTCATTGCAGACAACGCGCAGGTGCCAGCAAAAGGCTGGGGCCGTGACAGCGGCGGTCGACTGCTTCCGCGGCAAGTTTCAATGGTTTTGTCGTCATGACGACGCTGGCGTCCTCTAGCGGCTGGACTTGTGCTCCTAGCCGCGTGCCGGTTGCGATCTCGCAAGGATCACAGGCCATCGTTGCGACCGCCAGCCGATGATGTCTGCTCAACCCGCTCCCCGCTCATCCCTCCCCCCCAACCCGGAGGAGGAGGAGGAGGAGGAGGAGGAGGAGGAGGAGGAGGAGGAGGGAGGAAGGAGGAGGAGGAGGAGGAGGAGGGAGGAGGAGGAGGAGGAGGAGGAGTAGGAGGCGGCATGTGGGAGGGTTGCCCAGACCTCCAGCGCCTCGATTTTTTCGAAGCGCAGGCTCCAGGGCTTTGGACCCGCTTTTGGGGACGTCTTGAGGGCCAGGGGTCGTTCTGTGGATTGCCCCCAGGCCCGACAGCGGCCTGCGGGGCCCTCGTCGCCGCTGCTGGATTTGCCTCGAAGTTCTGGTCAGAACGCCCCCTTTGGAGAGGTCCGTGGAGCAGCGGTATTGGTACCCTCTGGTTTCCCCAGATCTGTGTTTTGAGGAAGTTGAAGTGCCGGGTTGGGCAGGTGGTCGAAGCGAGGGTCTCCCAGACAGACTAGCTGTGGGAGGGCGTTTGGGCTCGGCCCCCTCCGTGGGGGCACGGGCGCTGAGTTGCCCGCTGCCGCGTGTCTCTGTAGTTTTTTCCTCCCTTCTCCGCAGGAGGAATCTGCACACCACCACCGTGCCTGCCCGGGGCCACCCTTGACCCTGCGATGGTCGGGGGCGGCCAAGAGGGGGGTGATGACTGGTTAGGACTCGGGGGGGTTTACATCATGGCGGGCCATGATATCTCCCCAGATCCATTGGCTTACGCCACACCGCCGACCCCTTGGGGCGGCAGCAATCGTCCCCCGCGTGGCCTGTCCGGACAGCCTGTGAGGCCCCTCTAGACACGTTTTGGAGCCCTCTTAGGACCGTCCTGCCGTTCCCCCGGGCCGTTGCTATGGTTTCTGGGGCCCTCGTGGGGCGCCCAGCCGTCGTGGAGCCTTTTGGAGAGTCTCTTGGGGTGCCAGAGGTCGATCTTGGAGGTTTACTGGGCCGTTGTGGGCCTCGTGGATGCCCAAGAAGCGAATATGCTGAAAATGTACGTTTTCCCGGGGGAATGGGACGGCTTTTGCTTCTGGAGGCCTGCTTGGAGCGCCTCGTGGTCGCGTATGCAAACGTCTTGGACGCCCATGGGGCTGTCTGGAGGCAATTTTGGGCGGTTTGGACCGAATCGTCCCCCGCGTGGGCCGTCCGGACAGCCTTTGGGAGCCCTCTTGGCCCGTTTTGGAGCACTCTTGGGACCGTCCTGCGGCTTTCCTGGGCCGTTGCTATGGTTTCTGGAGCCTTCGTGGATCGCCCGGAAGCCGTCTTGGAGCCTTCCTGGGAGCCTCTTCGGGTGACAGGTGTCGATTTTGGAGGTTTATTCTCTTGCACAGTTGTGTTCTAGAGCTCGGACCTCTTTATTTTCGTGGTTCGTGGTTCGTCGTCGTCTCCCTGGCTCTGGCCCCCCATCCTCGTCGTCGTCCCCCTGCCCCCCATTCCCCTGGCCTCCTCGCCCCAACCCGGACCTCTGGCTCCTGGTGCGAGCCCCAGCCCTCCTGCCCTGGCCCTGAACCCAGCCTCCCTCTTTGACTCTGGCGTCCCCTGGCCCTGGCCCCAGCCCCCCTCGCCCCGGACCCTTTATATTTTCGTGGTTCGTGGTTCGTCGTCGTCCCCCTGGCTCTGGCCCGCTTCCCCTGGCCCCCTCGCCCCCGTCCTCCTGCCCTGGCCCTGAACCCAGCCTCCCTCCTTGGCTCTGGTGTCCCCTGGCCCTGGCCCCAGCCCCCCTCGCCCTGGCCCTTTTATTTTGGTGGTTCGTGGTTCGTGGTTCGTCGTCGTCCCCCTGGCTGTGGCCCGCTTCCCCTCGCCCCCTCGCCCCCGTCCCCCTGGCTGTGGCCCGCTTCCCCTCGCCCCCTCCCCCCAACCCAGACCTCTGGCCTCTGGTCCTAGCCCCAGCCCTCTGGCACTGGCTGAACTCAGCTTGTCCCTTGGCCTTGGCCCCACTCGGCCCGACCCTGGCCTTGGCCCCAGCCCGACCCTGTATTTTCGTTGTTCGAACCCGGACCTCTGGCCCCTGGTCCGAGCTTCAGTCCCCCTGCCCTGGCCTTAGACCCAGTCTCCCCCCTTGGCTCTGGCCCCCCCTGGCCCTGGCCCCAGCCCCCCTCGCCCCGGACCCTTTATATTTTCGTGGTTCGTGGTTCGTCGTCGTCCCCCTGGCTCTCGCCCCCCATCCTCTGGCCTCCTCGCCCCAACCCGGACCTCTGGCTCCTGGTGCGAGCCCCAGCCCTCCTGCCCTGGCCCTGAACCCAGCCTCCCTCTTTGGCTCTGGCGTCCCCTGGCCCTGGCCCCAGCCCCCCTCGCCCCGGACCCTTTATATTTTCGTGGTTCGTGGTTCGTCGTCGTCCCCCTGGCCGCTCCCTCGCCCCCCCCCTCGCTGTGGCCCGCTTCCCCTCGCCCCCTCGCCCCAACCCAGACCTCTGGCCCCTGGTCCGAGCCCCAGCCCTCTGGCCCTGGCTGACTGAACTCAGCCTGTCCCCTGGCCGTGGCCCCACTCGGCCCGACCCTGGCCTTGACCCCAGCCCTCCTCGCCCCGGACCCTGTATTTTCGTGGTTCGTGGTTCGTCGTCGTCCCCCTGGCTCTGGCCCCCCATCCCCTGGCCCTCTCGCCCCAACCCGGACCTCTAGATTTCATGGCGCCTCTTTTTGATTCAATACGTCCCCAGCCCCTCCCCCTGGGCCGCGCACATGCCGCTGGCCATGATTTGCCCCCCTATTGGCCGCCCCCGAGATGGTGTTGGGCCCTCCTGGACTCGGCCAGGAGGGCGTACGTCCCAGGGCAAGGGCCCAGGGCCATGGCCCAGGGCAGGCCCAAGGCCAGGCGGGGCGGTGGTGTCCAGGTGCCTCGGGCCCGTTCTTCCGTTCGTGCCTGCGAATGCCTGGTGAGCAGTCTCGGCTGGGACGCGGAAGCAAACAGACGATCATCTCTTCGCGTTGTGATCGTTTTCTTATTCCTTGTTTTGCCGATCGGCGCGGGCCCTCGCCCCCCCCCCCCCGCCCCCGCCCCCCCGTGGAGTGGGTCTTGGCTGTTTTTTGCGCCTGTTTCGACCAGGTGGGGTCTCCCCCAGGGGACGCACGGTTCCAAACAGCCGCATTATTAGCAGAGGTCCAGAGCCAGACCCCCCCCTCGCCCCCCCGCCTATCCGCCCAATGTCGAAACGCCGAATAAGAGAACGCTCACGTTTTGCGCATCGACGACCCTGTCAGACGCAGGTCATCTCGCGCGGGCGCCGATTGCCCTTGCCTTTTCCATGTGGTGGCACCTGGTGCCAGCGGTGGCGCCCTCAGCGATGCTCGGTCGCGGCCGCGATGCCGGTAACACCAGGGAGCAATCCAGAAGTCGTGCCAGTCTGCCATAGACGTAAGAGTGACCTTTCGCTGGAGTGACCTTTGGTGCGGGTCCAATGGGGTCCCCCGATCGCCGAACGCGAGGCGGCAGTGGCGTCTTGCGCGCTTGTGTTTGGCCCCCCCGCGGACCCCAAAAAGCCGCGCACCAAAGGTCACTCTTACCCAGGGTCACTCTTGCGTGTAGTCGATGCCAGTCTCCCAGCCGATGGGAAGGGCCCCTCCTTCGAGATCAGCAGCACGGTGGCCCAGAACCCTGCGCTGGCTCAGGGGCTCCTGCGCGGGGAGCGCCGGCGCGGGCGCCCGGCCTTTTTCTGCGCGGACCCCACAGTCGGGCGTTGCGTGATATTGAGGGGCGAAGACCGGTGCACGTTTGGTGTCCTACATGGGGTCCTAGAGGGGCTCCCTGGGCCCCCCCCGAAGGGGCACCAAGCCCCCCCCCCCCCTCCCTATTTATCGCCCCCCCCACCCCCCCACCACTAAGCCACAGGCCTGCTATTGTCCCAGCCATAGGCCTGCCAAGCCAATCGAGCGACGCAAAAAACGGGTTCGTCTTCGCCGATCTTCGCGCGTAAGTTGCCCGCGTAAGCTCGTGCGTGAGCGCCCTAATCTCCAACGCAGCGTGCCGCGCTGGCGGCCCGCGTAAGCCGCGGCCTAAGGCCGCTATGCCATCTCGCGTAAGACCTCTTTTTGATCGTCGCCCGTGTATCGCCTAGCCATAGGCCCATGTATCGTCCAGCCATCGGTACCCAGTGCCAGCGTCCATTCGCCCTACGGGCGACGCGGGGCTTGTCGTTACGGCGGCATGACTACTGCTTGTCCCATGCTCCCATGCTCCTCCTCCTCCTCCTCTTGCCCCAGGCCCCAGGATGGCGTCGCCGGGGCCGTCGCCCCGCGCCGCGGCGCCAGAGAGAACGAGCCACCCCCCTCCCGCGGAGGCGGGCCCACGGATGTTCGCGCAGGGCGGGAGGGCGGCGCTCGGCGTCGTGCGAGCCGCTCGCGGCCGTGGCAGTGCTCCTCGTGCGGCGGGCGACGGCGCCGAGCCGCTGTCGCCTCGCCCCGCCTCCTCAACGAAGCCCCCTGAGCGTGTTGGCAAGCACACGGGGGAACGAACGATGACATAGCTATACAAACTCGGAGGTCCGCGCGAATTCCTCGGATCCGCGCTGGACCCCCTTGGCGGCGCCTCCGGCGCCGCCCCTGGCGCGGTCCGCGCGCCAGGGGAAGGGTCGAGCGCCGACCCGAGAAATCCGCGCGTAGCTCCGAGTTTTTATGTTCATGCGATTCTTCGTTCCCCTACTCCTCCCCAGACTCCCTGGAGCGGGTTTGCAAGTACAGTCAACCCCCATGGTAAGGGATGGGCAACCTTCCCAAGTGTACCCTTGCATCGGTCGCGCCCCGCTCCAGAAGCTTCGAAGTGGGCGTCCAAGGCCTGTGCATCCTTGACGCGCATCCTTATGATACGGGCCGACTGTATTGTTGGGCCTCTGGGATGCTTTTCGTCGCACCCGCTGGGTCTGCCTCTGGCTTCTGGCCAGACCGCACCACAGGACAAGTCCCGGGAGCGGTTTTTTGAGGTCGGGTCCCAGCCCCCCGGCGCTTCGACAAACTCGCGACGGGAGGTCTTTGGTCCTCTTCGGCCCCGGGGCCGTCGAGACTCGACCCGGGGACCTCTGCGGGTCCACGGCGTGGAGAACCCGCGGTGTCGGGGGTCTGGGCCCCCTGCCCCCTGCGTGCCCGCTCCTATTCCGCCCCGTCCACCTCCCTCGCCCCCTCTGTTCTCTAGGGTTAAATTACAGGAGGAATATTAAAAAATATATATAACAAATCGTCTGGGGACGATTTTTCAGCATTTTTTTGCCATTCTGGTGTATTTTTGGAAGATTCTTTTGTTTTCGCCTAAAATCCCCGTGTAGGGGGACAGGCCCGACCTAACTCTAGGGTGCTGCCAGTGGTGTCCCTGCCCCGAGGGGTCCCCAGGATATCCAGGGAGGCGGCCCCTGTGCGCGGCGCATTCGAAGAGCCAGAGGGGTGCAGCGGGCAGGAGTACCACCTTTGGCAACCCTTCCTTCGATGGCGGATCCTGGGTGTTGGCATCGGCGTCGGCCCTGACACCTCCCGGGTGCAGAGCCGTCCCACTCTTGCTCGATCCGGTCCAGCCTGTCTGGCCCGGGTGCACTCGGTCAAATGTTCGGTCCGGCTCAAGTTCGGCTCCGAGCGCCCCTCCGTCTGGCCCTGGGCTCGGGCGGGGCTGGGAGGAGGACAACTCCGTCCCAAGGCGTTCTGGAGAAGGCTCTGAGAAGGCCGCGGCGCCCGAGACCTCTTCCAGAGCCGCCGGATCTCAGGGATTCCCGCTTTCTCCTCGCCCGTCTTTCGCCTCGTCCTGGCTTCGTCTTGCCAGGCCTCTCCGACGGGCCTCGGCAACGCGCGAGGCGGCCGGAGAGGGGAGGAGGAGGTGGGAGCGGCGTTCCTCGCCGCCGTCGCCGCCGGTCGGGGAGGGGGGACGCCTGCTGCTCCAGCCATCGAGCAGGAGATCGGCGCACATAATGGATCTGCCCACTGCTTGCTCTTCCTCGCAGCATCCACGGCACATGCGTACGGTGCCCGTGTGTATCTGCGAACATATCCCGCGTCTATCTCTTTTTCTCTCTCTGCAGCGTCGACGAAGAAGCATCCGTTCTGGGGTAGAGCACGTCTGTGGCCGATCTCCTACTCGGAGCCCCCGGCGTCGCAACAGGCGAGCGACGGGCGTCTCTGGCCACCTCTGGCCTCGGGGGGTCCCTCCCCGGCGTGGCCCCCCGGGGGAGCGTCTCGAGGAGGGCTCGGGACGAAGAGGCCGTCCCGGGGGAGGGCCTCCGGGGGTCCACGCTGTGTGTGAAAGCCACCGCGGCGACGGTGGTTTCTGGGATCTTCGTCTCTTTCTCCCAGCCTTGAGTCGGGCCTGTCCCCCTACAGGAGGAATATTCAAGTATAGTCAAAAATAGTCTTTGGATTAATGTTTGAATGTGTTTGACTATTTTTGAGCATGCTTTGATTGATGTCAAATTTCCCGTCCAAAATCCGCCTGTAGGAGGACGCGCCTGACCTAACTCCTGTCCGTCGGCGCTTTGCTTGTCAGTCGGGCATGTCCCTCTACAGGAGATGAGGAATAGTCAAACATAGTCAAAAAATAGTCAGCGCACGAGTTTTCATTCCAAAATCCGCCTGTAGAAGGACATGCCCGACCCAAATATTCCTCCTTCTTCCTGCCCCTCGGCGCTGTGCGCTCGTCGTTCAGGGTGGTGCTCTCTCCCACTCGCGGGCTACTTTTCTGTATCCCAGTCTTGCTTCATTGTGGCCCCCCCTTCGTTTTCCTCTCCTCCGCCCTCCCCTGGTCCTCCTTCATTTTGGCCCTCCACTGCAGTTCTTGTTGCTGCTGTTCGTCTCGCCACAGCGCTGGCAACTTTTCGCACCCCGAGTCTGTCTTCATCGTTGTCGCCCTCCTCAGCTCTCCTCCTCCGGCTTCCCCTGGTCCTCCTGTTCCTTCGGATCCGTCCGCTTTAGTTCCTGCTTCTGTTGTTCGTCTTGCTCCTTTTCCTCCCGCTCATCCTCTTGCTCACCCACCATCTCCCCCTCCTGTGCACGGAGCTCCTCCATCTCCGATTGCGCACAACACGAAGTGGCCTTTCTGTGAGAGTCGCAGGTCGGCTATGACACGCGTCCGCGGACAGAGAAATCAGCGCCATGGGAAGGGGAGGGAGGGATAGGGTGTCAGATGAGGCGCGAGCGCACCCAGCTTTTCCCCTGCCCCCTCTCCTCCCGATCCTCCTGTCCGTCTGTATATCCCCAGGAGGACTCCGAAAAACTTCGCCCTTCCCGATGGACACTCTACCCATGCCCCCGCGCAGGCCCCCCCGATCTGGGCAGCGGGGGACGTGGCATGGATGAAAGTCCTGCTCTCCGGATGCTCGATTTCTTATCCTGGGTCCATCGGAGAGGTGCGGAAGGAGTTGGGGTATGAATGCCATGTAATCGCCCCCTCCCCTCCCCTTCCCCCGATCTTCCAGGAAGCGTCCGAGAAGTCGTCGAACACTGGAAACCGCCGGGGAACAACGCACCTCCCTCACCTCCTCCTCAACCCTCCTCCTCCTCCTCCTCCTCCTCCTCCTCCTCCTCCTCCTCCTCCTCCCCAGCCCCGCTAACTGCTGCTGCCATCTCGCTCATTCCTGCCCCTCCCGCCCCCCAGGATGTCCTGCCCTGCAACAAGGACAGGGCGGCATACCACCCGCTCAAGACGGAAAAGGACTGGACGAAGTGCTACAAGCAGGCCATGCTCGAGGAGCGAGCCGCCTGGATGGCAGAAGGAGGAGGGGAGGAGGAGGAGGAGGGGAGAGAAAGAGGGAGCGAGGAAGGTGGAACAAGAAAGGGGGGTGGGTGGAAGGCGGAAGGAGGAGGAGGAGGAGGAGGAGGAGGAGGAGGAGGAGAGGAGGAGGAGGAGGAGGAGGAAGAGGAGGAAGAGGAGGAGGTGGAGGAGGAGGAGGAGGTGGGGGGAGGAGGAGGAGGAGGAGGAGGAAAGGAGGAGGAGGAGGAGGAGGAGGAGGAGGAGGAGGAGGAGGAGGAGGAGGAGGAGGAGGAGGAGGAGGAGGAGGAGGAGGAGGAGGAGTAGGAGGAGAGGAGGAGGAGGAGGAGGAGAGGAGAGGAGGAGGAGGAGAGAGGAGGAGGAGGGAGGACGGAGGAGGAGGGAGGAAGGATGAGGAGGAGGAGGAGGAGGAGGAAGGAGGAGGAGGAGGAGATAGGAGAGGATGAGAAGGAGGAGGAGGAGGCGCAGGCGGAGGCGAGGAGGATTTGGAGGCGGAGGCGAGGAGGAAGGAGAAGGAGGAGGAGAGAGGAGGAGGAGGAGGAGGAGGAAGAGGAGGAGGAGGGACGGCCGAGGGGGGCCGGGTCCTGGAGAGGAGGGCCAAACAATCGCCGGGGGGCCAGCGTTTCGTGTGAGGGAGGAGGGAACGAGGAAGGCGGAAGAAGAGAAGGAGGGGTTGGGTGGAAGGCAGAAGGAGGATAAGGAGGAGGAGGAGGAGGAGGAGGAGGAGGAGGAGGAGGAGGAGGAGGAGGAGGGATGGCCGAGGGGGACCGGGTCCTGGAGGAGGGCCAAACAATCGCTGGGGGGGCCTCGTTTCGTGTGAGGGGGGAGGGAGGGCCCCTTCCCCGCCGCCCCCCCATGGGTCCTGGTGGGGTCTAGGATGGTTTCTGGAGTGCATACATCCCCCCGCGGGAGGCCCCCACAGAGGAGGAGAAGGAGGAGGAGGAGGAGGAGAAGGAGGAGGGCGAGGGCGGAGGAGGAGGAGGAGGAGGAGGAAGAAGAAAGATAATAATAATAAGGAACATAATAATAATACGAATCATAATAATAATACGAATAATAATAAGAATAATGAATACTAATACTAATACTAATAATAATAAGACGAAGACGAATCATACTACTAATAAGAAGAATAATACGAATAATACTAATACGACGAATAAGAATAATAATGAGAACACTACGACGAATAATAATAATATCAATAAGAGTAATAATAATAATACTAATACGAAGACTAATAATCATAATGAGAAGAAGGATATTGATAATAGCAATACTAAGAATAATACTAATAGTACTACTCATAGTAATAATACGAACAATAAGACGAATAATAATACAAATAAGTATAAGAAGAATAAACAAGACGAATAATGAGAAGAATGACAATAATAAGAAGACGAACCCTACGAAGAATCAGCGTACTAATACGACAAATAGTAAGACTAATAAGAACATTAATAATACTATGAAGAAGCATACTACGACTAATAATTCTAATAAGAAGAATAAGCATAATACTACGAATAATAATAAGAATAATAATCATAATAAGAAGAAGACGAATACTACTAATACTACTACTACTACTAATACTACTAATCATAATAATAAAAATGATACTACTACTACTAGTACTAATAATACTAATAATACTAATATTATTATCATTAATAATAATAATATAATAATAATAACAATAATAATACTAATACTATCACTAATATTATTATTATTATTAATGATAATACAAATAATAATAATAATACTAAAAATAATCATAATAAGAATAATAATACTAATAACAAGAATACTACTACTAATACTAATAATAATAATACTAATAAGAACATACATAATACTAATAATAATAATAATAATACTCATAATAATAATAATAATAATAATAATAATAATAATAATAATAATAATAATAATAATAATAATAATAATATTAATAATAATAATAATACTACTACTACTAATAATAATAATAATAACACTAATAATACTAACAATAATGCTGATACTAATACTGCTAATACTAATAATCATAATACGAAGACTAATAATACGAGGAATAAGAGGAGGAGGAGGAGGAGGAAGGAGGAGGAGGAGGGGAGGAGGAGGAGGAGGAGGAGGAGGAGGAGGAGTCGGAGGAGGAGGAGGAGGATGGAGGAGAGGAGGAGGAGGAGGAGGGGAGGAGGAGGAGGCGGAGGAGGAGGAGGAGGAGGAGGAGGAGGGAGGAGGAGGAGGAGGAGGAGGAGGAGGAGGAGGAGGAGGAGGAGGAGGAGGAGGAGGAGGAGGAGGAGGAGGAGGAGGAGGAGGAGGAGGAGGAGGAGGATGAGGAGGCGGCGGCGGC